GGCCCCTGGAGTGTTGATGACAGTGTGATGCATTATTGTCAGAGAAGTAGTTTGGCCTAATGGTTATCACGCTGCATTGCCGATCGAGCGGTCTGGGATACAGCCCTTGCAAGGGTCATTGCAAGACACTTAACTCTCACATTGCCTTTCTCCAGTTAGGGCCGCGTTGTTGAAAGCCCGATCTATCGTAGCTAACTCAGGATTACCGAAAAATTTTATTTCATTTGGTGAGGTTTTCTGTTCATATTGTTTGTCCTTCAGTTTTGAGCTGGAATAATTTAAACTTCACAAAAACATGGCCGTGAAAAACACTTTCATAGAATTGAAAAAAATAATAATAATAAAATAATAATAAAAAAATACTTCGGTTAACAGTTAACCGAAGTATTATTAGCCGGCTTTCGAACAACTCGGCTCTAGAGTATAAATGGGTACCGGCGAATTAGTAGGGAAAAAAAACGTGACAATCAGCTTTCATATTAGTAACACAAGTGCACCATAGTGAAACACTTAAAGTTAATTCTGAGCCACTTGAAGTTGATAAAGGTTACTTGACGCCCGTAGCAAATTTGTAAAAGCTGACTTTGCGAGTGGTAGCCTATGGAGTTTTTCGGGTCGTCTGTATGTTTCTACTTGAGTGTGGAGTTACGTTATTGGACGAAAAAATTCACTAATTCATTAATTATAATCCATTGATTAATAAATTAATTATCAAAAGGTTCGTTAAAAGAATTAATCCCCCATGTAGGTCTGACCTATGGGCAAGACCCTCGAATTATTTTTCAGACATGGACTCAGGTTCTTGCGCAGATAATACCATACGTTTACGTGGGGAATAAATACACGTGGCTATGCTTTGAGTAAAATCTGCGTCACAGGATCTTGTAATCTTGCGGCTGATTGGCTATTTCCAGACCATCCTGAGATTTCCAAAGCCGGGAATAATCTAAAAATAACTTGAGATTTAAGGATTACCTTAGGAATAAGAGTTTTTTCGGCACTCTCAACCGTCTTTTTGTTCGGCCAGGCTTTCTTTTGTTTTGTGCTCGTTTGCCTGTTCATTATTTGGCTGTTTATTCGGTTTTAGGGAGTTTTATTAAGCAAACATCAACGGCAACGGCAACGAGTACAATGGCTGTGTAAGGGCCAGGTCATACGTCGCATTTCTGCCGTGTCGAATTCAATTCAATTAAGTGCGGCAGAAATGCGACTGT